GTAAGAACACTTGTGTATCAGGGATGAAATGGCATTTATTGTGTGGTGACATTTTTAGTTCATTTTACTGGTTTGAGGGTTGTGTGTGTGTGTGTGTGCGCGCGCGCGTGTGTGTGTGCGTGTGTGTACGCATAAGTGTGTGTGGGATTATTTTTTTTTTTCCCTCCAGTTTCCAGGGTTGTGTTTCTGGAAGGATGTGGAAGTAATCACAGTACTATGTACAGAGCTTTCTTTTGTATTAAAAAAAAAATTACTCTTTCAATAAATGTTATCATTTTGTGCACAGATTTGGGATCTTGGCCATGCTTTGTGGGAGGGGATGACACACACCTGAGGGGTCAGTGAATGGGGACCAGAGGCAGATTCCTGCACCTGTTTGTGTACTGCAGAGGGTGGGTGGCTGTCTCGGCGTGATGTGGTGAAGAGGGGCTCTTTGCAAAAGTCTCCATCCCCACTGCCTCCTGCACAGGTGAGACCTGATCAGCTGGACTTCTAGTCTGTGAGTCCCAGAGCCAGTGGGTGGGCGGGCCAGAGGGGGCCTGTGGTGGACAGCAGGGCTGTGAAGGCTGTCCTTTCTGAAAGCTCGGGAATGGTGCTGGTGAGCAGGGCATGGTGTCGAGTCAAGAGAGAGAAAAAACAGGAATGAGGAGGAATGGGGACTTTTGAAAAAGAAAAGAATTGTTCTAATTCATGGGTGTTAACAGGGAGGAGCAGGAGGACCTCAAGCAAGAGTTAAAATGGTGAGCGCAAACAGCCCATGTTGCTTATGGAGTAGTTAGGCAGTAACTAAGGCCTAGGAAGAGGAGGTTTTTGCCATTGTAACATCAAAGAAAAGATGATCCCTATGCCTGGCCCCAGGTGGATTATATATATTGATAAACTACCCCAAACCAAAGGAGGACAGAGATATTTAGTATATCTCTGTATATAGTAGTGACAGAGGTATTTCCAGGATAGATAAAAATTTTGTATGAAGACGCTGCTGTTAAGGTAGTGTTTACCTGATATGGGACTGGACAGATAAGTGATGCTGGCCAAGGCCCTGTCATCATGGGAGGTGTCATGCAGCTGGCATCTCAGAGCATCCAGACATGGTGGTTGGTGTGTGTGGTACCATCTCCAGGCCTCTGGACAAGGAGAAAGAACAAACTGGGCTTTAAAATAAACCAGTTGAAAGGCTGCAGGCCCAACAGCTTCCCCTGACATTGACAGGCATCAAATCCAGGTCTCAAATGAAGATGAGATTGTTTCTCCTCCCCTGTTCCATGTCCATTACTTTTGGACACCTGATGTCTTTAAGGTTGGAGCTTAACTGTTGTCCTTATGAGGCTCAACACCAAGACTGTTAAATTCCCCACAGAAAACTGCTATGAGAAGATATGGCAATATTCAAAGTCCAAACTGGAGAGGCATTACTTAAAGTCAGGTCAAAGGCGGATGGATGCCTGTAGGCCCCTAGAAGCCAGGTCAAGGGCACATGGGGACTCAGTAAAGTGCCTAAAGGTGGGCAAGAAACCGAAGGGAGAAAGGCTCATCACAATCATCAGTGCTGCTGGGTAAACAATATGCCAGCTAAAATGCAACAGCTCGCCTCTACATAGCATCAGGTCCTGGAGCAGATACCAGTATAATGTAAGGAAAGCTTAGCACTGATAAAAGCCTGTGCAGTGGAGGGACTGCACTATTCCTCACAGTGCAATTTGGAAAAAATATATCTCAGTGCAGCAGAGGAGGAGAAAATTGTACAGAAAGTGCTTAGGAGCAAAACACAGCTGAAATGGCTCTTTCCCCATCGGGAGCGGAGGCGCTTCGCTTTTACAGGTTACACCACAGCCAGCCCCATGTTCAGCATGCCTACACGTGTCTTGTGGTTCAGCACCACAAAACCCGTATCAGCACAAGTAACCCCATGTTACTTGTGCTCAGGGGTCTGTGTATGACACATAAAACTCCTAACATGGAGCAAGATACCATAGACATAATCTTTATTTTTAGGATAAATGGCTTGACTAACCATGGTATCAAGACCATCAGAGCCAAGACATAAGCAGGGCATATGAATACCACAGAAAACTTTTCAGTGTCACAAACAAGACGCCCGAGTCCTATTTGGCCACTGCCATTTACTGTTGGTGACAATTTTGACTACGGGATGTTGCCAGCTGATGTTACCAGCCAGGCTGCATTTCCCACTGCAGAGCATTATCACCACCTCGTGTGTGACATTAAACACAGCAGTGTTGCAGGTACAGTACATGCACAAAATAACAGCTGCCAAGAACAGAGGAAAATAGCAAAGGTCATGCATGTGGTATCAGCTTTTATGTATTTGTGTGGCATTTAGGAAGTAATTTTCCCCTTCATTAGTGCAAATATACTGTGTTTATCTCTACAGGAGATGAAGGGACTTGTAAAGGCAAAGCATGATATAACTAAATACCAGTTCGAACCTCTAAATTTTAACAATGCCTTGGGAGTTAATGGGGAAGGAAAAATGACATGTTAATGGAAAACACAGAGATTTCAAGAGCATCCACGGGATTCTGGAAAGAGAGTATCAATAGCGTCAACAGAGGTTACGCTTACTAATGGAGAAATCAAGAGGCTGGCTTGGAAACACAAACATTTACAGTCCACCATTGCTGTGCCACAGCTTTAGAGGATGATCCCCACAGACTAATGCATCACCACACTGATTTATCCAGCCTATAGTTAATTGCAATTATATTGTTTGTATTAATTGCTGATTGCTATTGTAAAACATGGGAATTGTCTCATCAGTTGCATTAGTCCTGAGGGTAGAAATGAGGTTGGGCACATACATGAAGTTGCTCCAGGATCAAGTAAGAAAGCAGACTCATCAGTTTAGCTTTTGATTTTAATGTTTGTTTATAATTTAAAACAAATGTTAACAGACCAATAGAAACCTGCACCTACTGGATTGTAGCTAAGTGCTGTGAGGCCTGTCAAGGAAGGGAAATACGGGCAAAGGATAAGAATTTAGATTTTATGGTATGGGCATTACAGATCAGTGTAACACCAAAGCAGGAAAGGAACTGGAAACCGGCCAAACTTGTGTGCAACTGGCTTCAACTGCCTCTCTAGCAACCCTGAAAATAGGGCAGTCTTACAACCAAAAACCTGCCGAGAGCGAGCGCAGTTGTCCCTGAAGTAGGCCAAACAAGGTGGCTGGAGGGTGGGGCGCAGGGCTGAAATTACCCCAGAACCCCAGGCCTGAAGAAGTTGCTGCACTGTAATTTTTGGTTAACACTGTGTTTGCAATAACGTTAGTGCTGACATCACATGCTTTTAGCCGCCTTCTCACCTACCCTGCAACAGTTCTTAACAGAGTTCATTAATCACCAGAGAAACCATACCAACACACAGTGCAACACAAACATCTTGAGCTCTTGCAGATGCAGTCTTCGGCTCCCAACCTCAATTTCTTCTCCCTTCTAATATTAGCTGGGAGAATCAGAAAATACTCTGATTTTTCGTATTTTTTCTGCCCCTCACACCCATTTCTGGTGCACAGGCAGCATAGCAGGGCAGAAGCCCTGCGGCACAGGGTTGGAATGCGCCACCACGAGCAGGCCCCCTAGGCTCTCAGGCGCCAGCCCAGGCCTGCGTCCCCCGCAGGAGGTCGGGCCGCCCCCGAGGGAGG